AAGATTTGGTATCACATTACTCACGAACCACTAAGGATAAACTAAATACAAAGGTCTGAAAGAAATATAACAGTTGTCTGTCTCGAAACAAGGAGGCAACAGTCTAAAAGAAAACAATGAGAAGAGACGCCGGGCCTGCGGACGCCTGCAAGACTACCTCAGTCTCGTGAATATGAATCGCCTGCTTCCGAACTATTGCTGCTGCTGTTCCTCAAAACCTGGACCTGTGCAAAAATGCACAGAAGTGTAGCATCAGCACAACCGATCCCATGTGCTGGTAAGTGTCTAGCCTAACCCCGGCGAAGTAGTGACGAGGCTAGACTGGACACCACATAAACCTGTGCAGTTATAGATATACAGCGGAAATCAAATACAAAGCAATTACCAACATGGGAGGGGAAACATGCTATGGGGAGTTACAATAATAACAATAATCCAGAGTAACAACTAAAGCAACTTAGGTTCACAGTGAACTAGGAATCAATAATCAAATGTAAACACATAGCCTCAATAATTGTTGCGGCGTGCAACCCGCTCCATAATTACCATTGTTGCAGCGTGCAACCCGCTCCACAATATCATTGTTGCGGCGTGCAACCCGACCCATATCACTTATCATATATCATTGTTGCGGCGCGCAACCCGATCCTCATATATTATTGTTGCGGCGCGCAACCCGATCCTCATATATTATTGTTGCGGCGCGCAACCCGATCCTCAATATCATTTAACAGTCTGACTTCCCAAACAACAGTCACAATTAAGGGACATAAAATNTTGCACAAACAGTCCCATGGAAATCATGCAAAGTTCAGCAGGTTTGGCTAACAACTTATCCATTCTTCCTGAAGCAATCATTTTCGCAGCAGGAGGTTGGATTCCCCTGAGAGATACTTTTCTACCATTGAAATTGAACTCCATCTTGAGCTTCTTAAAATTCCACATGATATCATCCAATGTGAACAGCCATTGTATCCCTAACACAATACCACATCCCCCTATAGGTAGTATCAACATATCTGAATTGAAAGCCACTCCCTGCATCTTCCATTCCAAGTTCTTGCAAATGTAATGGCTCTGCACTTTACTCCCATCAGCCACTGATACATTAAAAGGGGCAATAGCAATCATCAAACACCCCAGCTTCTTGGCAATATTGATGTCTAGAAAATTATGTGTGCTCCCAGTATCAATAAGGACCTGTACAGCCTTACCCTTGACAGAAACTGTTACCCTCATAGTTCTAAAGTCATGAATTCCACTTACAGCATGCATTGACACCAGAGGCAAAATGGATCCCTCTTCATCTGTTTCTAATCCCTGGGCCATTATAGTTAAAAGTTCTGCTGCATCAAACATCACCTCCTCTTCTAACTCAACTGGATCTTGCTGTTCCTCTATCTCCATGTAGAATAATTGTCTTTTATTTTTGCACACATGCCCAAAGGTGTATTTCTCATCACAGTTAAAACATAAACCCTTACTCCTTCTTTCCTCCATTTCAGCAGTTGTTAATAATTTGGGCTTCTTGTATATTGTTTTAGAGTTTCCCACTAGGAAGTGGAAGTCACTTTATGAGACAGTACTAGGTTTGGAATAGGG